GGGAAGGATTGTGAGACAAGTTATGTATTTTATTTCTTTTGTTTTGTAAAATTGTTTTTATTAATGAAATCTGTGTTTTGGTGAAACAAAGAAAACGTAATTGAAATGTAATTATATTATTTGTGTTATTTTTATCCTTCTCCCTACTTTGAGATTTGGTTTTGTGAAGAATTAATTTTATTTTATATGATTTTAAATGTCAATAATTTGTGATGATTCAAACTCCGATCTTCATTTACTTTTTTTGATCTGGTCAATTGAATTGTTAATATGTGTTGAGAAACATATGTTCTAAAAAGGAGATGATTTCTACAACAAATGGAGAATCACAATTGATTTCATGGTTGAATCACATTTGATTCCATGGGATTGGGTGCAAATAAATAGGGAAAAATACTTTGTTGGATGTAGAATTGAAAGATTTTAAGGTGACAAATTAGAATCCCCAATTTAGTTCAGTTGATTGGAAACTAATGCGAGCATGTTAGCCCTTAGGTGAGGGAGTAGTGAGAGCTTTGGAGTGACAGCCGGTATCCTCCAGCCTAACCACAGAATTATGAACTAAACTCTGGATTAGTCAATGTTCTTTATAGCGCTCGGAAGAGGGTAGAGAATAGGTTTGCTCCTATTTGGCACAAAACAGTTTTTAAATAAATTTTTCAAATGATTTAATTTTTTCACAAGCCATATTTTCATTGTAAATGGTCGTAAAGGGGAAGGATAGTTTCTTAAATTTGAACTCTTCGTCACAAAACTTTGTTTAGACTTAGTAAATTTAACTTTAGAGTTTATAAATTAATTTAGTAAACTTAGTTTTGTTAGCATACATTAAAACCACTTTAATCAACCTTCTAAACTAAGCTTGTTTTTCTTACTTTAATTTTTAGAGTTTTGAATATTGTGATTTATGTTATTATCATAAGACTTTTCATCTTTTTCTAGATTAATTTTTGCAACTATAAGTAAAAGTTTCACAAAAATTAAAGAAATTCTTACTGCGCTTCTCTGTGGGATCGATACTGGAGTTTTAAGAAAAATTTGTAAAGAAAGCCCTATATTACTTGAAGTGATACGTACACTTGCATAGAACCACTAGTGTGTGAACTATTTTATATATTTTATAACAATTGGAGTTTAGCCGCTAAATTTTTCTAATTAAATACTTAATATAAATTTGGTCAATATTTTGACCATATTTTTGAAAGCTAAATTACTGCGTAATATTGGGACATGTCAAGTTTTTGGCTCTGTTACTGGGGATTTAAATTGACAGAAAACATACAGAAAAACAACACACACTAGGGGCGCATCACTGCCGCTCACTTTTTATGTTAAGTTCAACCGCTCATCGACTTTATAGCTTAGAAGATTGTGTAACAATTTCTTGCATATGAGATTGAGACCGTATTTGTAATCATCAATTTATAGTGTATCTTTTCACCTGAGTCAGACCTGTGAATTTTTTCTTTACAGATTTTTCACGTAAAAACTTCTGGTTTCTCTACTAGTTGTTTTTCTTTATCTGATCGTGTGTCGAATTCTTGTGCAACTCTATGACGATAAGCCATTACTCTACCATCACGAATCTTCTACCACACATCAATAACTTATGCTGCCCAAATCTTCTATATCACATCTAATATATCACTATTTTTAATTTTAAAAAAAATTATTATATTAATAAATTTAATGTTTGTCACACTTCACTAATCCACTAATCTGATAACAAAAAATATATTTAAGTCAATTAATTGAAATCACTTAGCTTATATAAAAAATTAATAAGTATAAAATTTTATTATGTCAATTTAATAAGATAATACATATTTTTTAAACTTAAATAATAATAATTTCGTAGATAATTTGAAATTTAATCTTTTGTATGCTTGCAACTCAATTTTTATATATTACATATCTAAAACCTAAACTTTAATTTTTGCATGTTTTGCATACATGCTATTCAGAATTGACTTTGGACTCACCCATAACACACATGTAATATATATGTAAAACTTAAAAGTTAGGTATTAGTTATATAAATATATAAAATTTAATTGATATGTATTTAAATCTTTTTTAAAATTTACATGAATATATCTTTTTAATTAAAATTATAAATATTTTTCAAAAACTTTTAATTCATTAATTAAGACATACATGTCCTATGATTGTCATCTTTTTTTTTAATATTATTTAAATCAAACACTTCTATGCTAAGTCTTATATTTATGAGAGTCATGTTCGTATCTGATACACGTGCGACACTATATGTAATTCAATTAAGTTTGAAGGAACAATCTTTTTTTTTCCTAAAAAAATAAAAAAAATAAAAAATAGAAAAGCCTTCGAGGGGGCAGATTGTAGTGGCGAGTTGTTTTGTTTGGATGGATTGGTTGGCATGAGCGCAAGTAAACTGCATAATTTGGAGTTGGTATTAATGCTAATCTCCACTCTCTTTATTTACATTCTTACGTGTTTTTGGGTTTAAGTTAAATAAGGTTTAGTAAATCCAGTAAATTTGGATATATTAAATCTAAATATTTTTAAATCTGAAGTTGTGTAATTGTGTTTGGTTTGATTAAAGTTAAATCCAGTTAAATTTATTTGATGTATTTGACATAAATCTATGTGAAATATCTTTTAACTATTTTAAATCCATTAAATATAATTAATAAATGAATTTAGTAAATTCAGATTTATTTAATAGAAAAAAAATGAATTTAATTTGAATTTATTTTTGATGTTTGGCTTGATCTATGTAGAAAGTAAGATACCAAACACTTATAAAAAATGGGAAGAAGGCGGAAGAGACCTTTTAAAATTTTCACGTGGAGAACCGTAAGAGCCGCTTAGTCCAATTTACTCTCTTTTCCACTTCCGATTGCTAAGCGGCTGCGGTAATGGCGTCTGGTGCTCTTCTTCTCGCCAACGCAGGAAGTTGCTCGCCGGCGGTTTGTGGGCGGTGGGGGGTAAAATGTTCCAGTGCTGTGTCTCATGGTCGCTTGATTTGGAGTAGAATGAAGGACGCTTCTTTTGTGCGCTGCGCGTATGGGCAAAGGCGAGCCGTGGCTGAACTTTCGAAAGACGTAGTAGCTGTTTCAATGGGAGGGGAAGGGCAGAAAGGTTGGGTTCATTTTGTAGGCATCGGGGGCTACGGATTGTCCGCGCTTGCCATGCTTGCTCGTAAACAGGTAGAGATCTAAATTTTGCCCCCTGTTGAAAAATCATGACTACTTTTCTGTTGTAAATATCTCTGTATGATTGGATGTCTGGATAGAATGTTAGATATATTTCTGTTTGTTATTTGCCTATTTTTTGATTACCTGAAGAGTTCAGACAAGCTAGTATGAGGAAAGTAAGATCTCTGCAGTTATTTCATTTTGGAAGATTTACATACATAGCACTCATCAATTCCCATCTATTTTCATTCTAACGCCAATAATTTAATTTTCAGCTTACAATTTCACTTGGTATAAATGTAAAAAGTGAAGTTAGGTGCACATATAGGTAAAAGAAAAAAAAAAAAACATGTGAGAAATCCAACTGGCTAGCCCACATATGAGCTTTCATTATCAGTAAAAGTTCCTCATCCTCTTTCGTACTATTGAATGTATGTTATAGTTGATTGATGTCTCAAATGCATATAAATAAAACTATGTTGAGCAGCAGTTGGTGGCAACGATGGCAACGATGATAGTTTGCAACGATGCAATGATAGACCCCATTTGATGTTGTGATTGGAAATTTAGATAGTAGTTGGGATGTCAAATCCTGGTATAGTGATGATGGAAGGAGATCCCGGAAGAGGGGTATGGAGAACCCGTGGGTGACCATGTGGAGTACTTACGGGCAATTCTAACATCATATCTAAGGATGGTGTCCTTTGTGGCCCAGGAATATATTTGGTAAGTGAAAGATGGTGACTTCCACATACCCTAAGGTTTGTAGTTATTAAAGCATTTCGGTGGTTAGTGAACTTCTTGATGATGGCAATTATGTCAAATTTGAAGGAGGTGGTTACATCAAGCTAAAAGGCTGCCATAATGATAGTATCAATGGTTTTTGTGATGGAAAATTTAAATATTGTAGCTACGATAGACTTAAAGGTAGTGATTATGATAATCCTATAGATAGAAACTACAATAATGTCAAAGATGGCCACTGTGACAAGCCCATAGGTGACATCATAGTGATGGATGAAATAATAAAATACAATGGGTAATGATTATGATTGAAAACAATGACGAGCACTTTAATCGATGATTAACATTGACCACACATTCTTCGAGAGTGATTTGCATCTTTTTTAGAGCTTTGAACTTGTACAACTTGTCCACTCTATGTTGAACTGGTTGTTTATTTATTAACTGTACTAGGGCCACTTCAAGAATATATCTAATCTCTAATATGATAGGTTTAGAATTAATAGTAGAGATCATTGTCATCATATCATCAAAATCCATGTGAGTATAGGATATATTGCTTCTGGATAAGACTATATCTTGATTAGCTTAATTGGTAACTGATAGAGGTCAACATTAGTAGGTGGAGGCCTGTGGCATCAAGATCCAATGACTTTCTTTAAAAAACGTTTACTAAATGTTGTGATGCTTGCCATGATATATATTTTTAATACAATTTTGATTTGAAATTTCTTGCAACTTTTTCACTAGAAAAATTTCAAGTAGAGCTTACTCGTTTAGTCTGGATGAAAATGCACTAATATTGGTTTTAAAAGCTATCAAATTATTCATGTTTGAAAGATCATTTTGGGATAAATAGGATCTCGTGAAGTTGGTGTAGAGCCCTTGTGATTAAATAAGTATTGAACTAGGACTTACTGAGGCCAATTAAAGGCAAAATGATGATATTTGAGTTTGGTGCCATATAATTGTTTCTAGTGGGTGAGTTAGTTCACCAATGGCCAAAGTTAATGTTAGTGTATGCCTCCATCATCTCATTCTTGTGGCCCCAATTAACTAGTTCACTTGTTAGGTAGGCCATGAACTCAAACTCTTGTGATTAGAGACAAAACACCCAATCATTTGAGTCAAGTTGGTTGCTCACCTATGATTGATCCTATTCATGTGGGCTAATAATGATTTATTGTACCTCTTAAGAAGGCTAGGAATAGTGTCTAGGCCTTAATCATTAAGAGGAACAGGGTTATGAGAATAAAAGAGGCCGACATCCACAACCCGGCCCAAAATCTAACCTTAAAATTGACTTTAAGATTTTAGTGTGGAGAATTTACTAGACCTTCTGCCTTGAAATTCTGGAGAATGTTAATTAATTTTGCTTTGAGGTGTATAGGATAGTTGTTTGTTTTTTAGAGTTTATTTTATATTGTTTTTGCGGATTTTATCAAAAATTAAGTAAAAAGAAATTCTCTTTAGAAGATAACGCAACAAGTGTAATTTTGGCTTTGAGAAGTTGCTTAGAGTTTGTGAACTAGTTTAATAACATATGTCAAATTCAAGGTTAGGATTTCTAATGTTGACCTAAAAATTTTTATAATTGTTCAATATGTTTTATTTTACTAATTAAGTTATGGAACGACATTAGGTTTTACAAGAGCCATTCATTGCTTACCACACAACAATGATTCTTAATAATTTTTGTGAAGATTTAATTTGGGAAAAATATAATAACATACTTAGATCAAGAAAGAATAACACCACAATGAGATTCAACAAAAGAACATATATATGATAATTTCTATAATTCTCTGGAGTAATAGACTAAGCGTGAGTTTGGGGTAGCAGCACCACTACGTTGTGTGTTTCTGCCACCCTGAGATTCTGTTTGAGGCAGCGTTGGCCTTTTTTTTTCTGCGATTTCGTTTGAGGCAACATTGGCCTTATTTTTTTCTTGTTGCAGCTCCCTGCTTTTAGCGTTCCGCGTCCGTCGTTTTTTCTTTTGCATTTTGATGTTTCACTCATGTTTTTCCTCAACCCTCCCAGCTCTACCCCTGCAGATCCCTCAAGTTATTTCAATTCGGTTCCTTCCATCTTCTCGTTTCTGATCGTTCTTTATTGCAGGCATGCCTAAACTTTTCTATCCTCGCTCATCTCGATTGGGTGTGTTCTTCGTTCTTCTATTTTCTTGTTTGGGTTTTTTTTTTGTTAGGGTTTATGCATTTCCCAATTTCCCTCTATTATACAGTGGGGCTTGTTTCTGTTGTGTTGTGGTTTATCGAAATATGATATGATGAGCATGGAGGGATTACGGGACTCTCTTCCTTCTGTGTGCATTCGGGCTTTTTTGGTTATGACATCTATGTGAGTTTATTTAGTTTCTTTTGTTTATTTGGTATGCCGAAAAGTGAATTGATGAATATGAGGGGCTTATGGGGCTCTCTTTGTTTTGTGTGCGTTTGAGTGTGTTTGGTTATGACATCTTTTTTTATCTGGTATCTGTAATGTAGCCTTGGTATGCAGTGCTTTGTATTTACTTCAAAATAAGAGACTAACTATGGGAGAAGATTTTATAGGTGTCCCAAAAATATAACACTTGACGATTGTAAATTTCTTAGATATGCTGATGATAGTGAGAAATCTGATTCAGATTTTAATCATGTATGGAGAGAAGTTTTGGAAAGAAAATTCTTCAGATGACTTATTGTTTGAGCATGAAGAGTAATGTTATAATAGCATTACTTATTATTATTGTAATTTTTATTGCGTTATTATGTGTTATGTCATGTAATACTCTTGATGTATCATAATACTATATTTCTGACTTTTTTTTGAACTACTAACATTTATTTATGTTGTTCTGTTTATTTTTGAAACTTCAGACTTATAACTATCACATATACATAAGGGCATTACAATCCATTGTCTGAGAACCAGTTGCAACACAAGAAACATCCAAATAACCATATTGCTTCATCATCAATTGCTTTCTAACAACTTATCATAAAAGCGTTTCACACCTGCTTATTGAAACAACAACAACTGCCCCAAACACACTCTAAGAGCAGTCACTTAACTAGCTTTCTCTTCATTTCTTTCTAGCAATGATAGATAATTTTTAATAAAAATTCAAAATGCCAAAAAAGGACAGAGGATGGTGCCAAATGATTGGTTATAGAAGAGTTGATCAAATATGTGGTGGATGACCAAGTCTTCTTCTAAATTATTTGTTTGATTAATTTTTTTGTCAAATATTCAATTTTCAAATGAAATTGATTGGCATACTCTGTATTTTCAAAATTCCAACTTAAAAAATTAATTTTTTTAATATAAAAAATTTAATATTCAAAATTTATAGTTGAAATTCTCAAATTTTTTTAAATGTACAAAACAAAAGGCTAAAATTACACGGTCTTATGCAATAAACATACATAATCTAAAACTATACATTTTTAATTAAAATTCAGAATTTTACTTCTTGTAATCGGCCCTTGGTTATCAGCATGTTCTTCTCAAATTGAGCTCTTGTGGTTAATTCCTTGCTCACTTGATTGGCTTCATGTGCCACATCAATTCCGTTGGACGTTAAGGAGCTCTTCTCTTTAGAGTTAAATAGATGTTTTTAAGTAATGTTTCAATGGTGGTAGAGTATATGTTGGTGTTTGTAATTTTCTAATTAATAAGTTTAACGTCTAGTAGATTTCTATGTGATGATTTTGTTTGTTGCAAAAGATCTATAATGGGATTATGGATGCATTTTAACTCATTCTTTCATCATGTTTATGGATGTATTTTTGTTTAAAATTTTTGTTGATGTTATTGAAGATGAGCTCGATGGAGTTTATTTGTATAGGCAAGAGAGTTGGTCTTATCATACAAATAGGGAGGTCTTTACATGTTGGTCAGATTAGTCTAAAATGATGACAAAGTGAACGAGCTTGACAAGCCGAGCTCAACACTAGTTCGTCGAGTTAGTCCCAGTTTGGACTCGTCAGTCAAGTTTAGTGAGGACTTCTCTTCGACATTCAAGGTGTCCACTTGCCATCAACATGGTGAATCACTCACCTAATATGTATAAGCATCCACTAAAACTCAAGGATGACTCAATCACTACTCATATCAAACTCTATAGGCTGACTAGGCAAAAAAATTACCTACGACTTGGAGCTGCAATTTGACCTACTAAGGGAGCTAATGAGCTCTCTAGCAAGTTAGTTACTTGCTCCAAAACCGTGCTAAGGCCACAATCCTTCATGCATTTTTTTTTTGCACTT